CTTGGAATTCCAAAACTAATATGTGCAACTAAGGGATGCAATGCAGGCACTCAAAACTTGCATAAAGGTAAAGGGTTGAAATAACATGGTTGACAAAATTGATGAAATAATTATGGGAAATAATTAATAAATATATAGGACGAGTGAAGCATGAAGAAGAGTGATTTCTATTAGCAAGAGTTTAGTGCACAAAAAGTTAGTCAGCCCCAGGAAGAAGCTTAGTGCTAGATTGGCTAGTTGTGCCAAAAGCTCTCACAGATGCAGGGATGATCCTGGATGGTGACAGCACCTCTGCGAACGAAAAGTTATAAGAATCTGTTCCTAATCTACTCTGCAACCACCCTTTGTTCCCAGAGAATCCATCAGCAACGATCCATGTGTTCTTAAAACCAAGGTTAGTCAGTGTTCTTCCCACTGTTTTTGCTACGTCCGAATACCTAATGTTACAACAAATGCTCAAATTAATATGAAAAACAATGGAATATAATCAATCAAAGCGTAGACATGGAAAGAAACCCACGAGTCCAGGATCACAACGTTGGTGCCTTTGTTGATTTTCTTCAGATAAGAAATCTTCAAAGCCACTACTTCAGCTTCCAATTTCTTCACATTCTTCACCTGCCCTTTGAGCTTACTTGGCAGTTCTTCCAAACTGAAAGACCAAAACAAGTGATAGTAGGTGAATGTTTTTGTTTCTCCTAGAAAATGGTCGGTAGTGGATAAAGCAATAACTTACGGAATGGCAACCAGCCTGTTTTTAGCACTAGAGGGAAGGCGAGGGATACCAGTCTTGTCCTTATCTTTCTCTGACCTGATATCAATCAAAACGTAGTTTTGTGCAGATATCAAATCAAGGGCTTGAGCAGGAGTTAGGTCTCCTACAAGGTCATGGAAGCAGAAGTGTTAAGGCTCCATAATAGGGTTGTGGAGCTTAAAAATCCATCAATGCAATAGCTTAGTGCATGCATACATAAAACAATGTAATTTGCATCAAAAGAAGTCTTTAAGGTACCTTTGTAACCACGAAGATTAGAGGAGATGACAGACCAGATAGGAGGAATCAGGAGGTAGGCAACGAATAGTGCTCCTGCAGTTCCAGCAATCACAGTAGGGTCTGAAGAGGATATGGTTTCAACGGTTGAAGAAGCTATTGGCTTGGCAACATCAATCACCTTGGTCGTTTGTTGTGCAGCATCTGCCACTGTCTGATATCAAAGAGACTATCCTGATCAGGTTTTGCCTTTTCAAATGTCAAACAAAACTGAATCTTTGAAAAGGAGATTCAATCAAAAGAGAACTTGTCCAATCAACTGCTAACGAAATAATAAAATCCATGCATAGAACCAGTTACAAAGTTATTGAATTCTTAACATGTTTTAATTTAAGGTGAACACACTTTCCTTTAGAATCAGAGTAGTTCCCAGAGATACCAAATTCCATTTAAAGAAGATCGTTTTTAACATGATATTCCATTGTGTGACTATGTCAACAAAAATTTATGATTTATCCACACATAGGGTGCAATTGGCACAAATGAAAGTAGGAAAAAGGACCTCAACCCCATGATTGGCTTCCAACCAGGGAATGGTTTTGCATCCCAAAAAATTATTTAGCACACAACGACAGTGCAACATGTTCATCCTACCAAATGACTATGCAGTTAAGGAAACAAACCTTAGCAGCAGTGATAACAGGTTGGGTATCAACACCAGAGCTTTGCAGTGCTTCTTGGGCTTTCTTGGAAGCTTCAGAAATGGCAGGGGAAGCAATTTTCAAGGCCTCTTCCCCAGCTTGCTGCACAATCGGCAACGCCGTTTCGATGCCAGGTTTCAAAGCGTTCCCAATTACCTCAGCAACACGCTGTGCCGTGTCCAGAACACTCGAACCCACTTCCTGAACCTGGTCAATCGTTTTCTCAACCTATAAATAAAACAAATAAAGTTAGATTCTTTAAAAGATAAACAAAAGCTGCGAGGTATTCCAGATAATGGGTAGGCAAGGAAATCGAAAAAAATTACCTGGGTGAGAGACGAAACAATCTGATCCTTGGCGATGGAGACAGCGGCTTTGGCTTCGTTGGGAGGGGCGAAGAGAGCGAGGAGCGAAATGGTGGATGAGGTTGGCAGTGCTATGTGGTTGCGTCTGAGTTGAGGTTTGGTAAAAGTGGTGACAACTGGGTGTGAAGAAGGAGTTGGAAGAGAAGGTCTTGGAGTAGCTGAAGAAGCCATGGCAGAAATCTCCATTGGTGGTTGCTACTCTCTACACACTCACTCCCTTACTCAAAGATTCTTTGCCAGTGAGTTTAGAAAGTGATTGGTTGAAGGACGATAGATGAAAAAAGTTGGTTAGAGTGATGAGAGATGTGTGGCCAAAATCCATTGTGAAGCCATGACAGAGTTTAATTGTTCTTTATGTCCACCTATGCACCATCTATGTTTGAGGCTGCAAAACTATCACCACTCCACGTGGCATACCATGAACTTTCGTGGAGAACGATAATTCAAACAGTTTGGTAGACCCGATTTTAGTCCCATCTATCTCACTTCTTTACTTTACTTTCTTATTTGTCTTTCAAACACTCCAGTTTAATCATATCAAGTCCGAGGGGGTTGTTCAAAAATACTTTACACTATTTTCGCCACTCACGTGATTTGATTTACGTGTATTTTGTATGATTTCATGTTTGACTCATCATCGGTATTTGATAATTGATCAAATGCTGTTTTGCAAACATGCTTTTGTTGTGTTTTCACTGTGTATCGAAAAGTCATAATCCTATTACACAACGGAAACAATACCTCGTACAAACATCATAACTTTCTTGAAAAAGCTAAGAAAATGTAAGGGTGAAATTAGAAGAAAATGAAGGCGGGATGATAGTTTACTATGGTAAATATCAAAGACAGAAGGTAAACTTTTGTATCGACTACGAGAAATGTGTTTTGCCTTGTTGTACCCATATTATTACTAACTGCACCGAATATTAATGCAAATGACTAAAATATCTTCTGTTATTATCTCATGTTCATTATCATTGTTACCATCGTCAATGTCAACAATGTCTCACCTCTCAACAGTGACGTTTGTTCGGAATTTTTCTTTTTAAAATTTTTAAATTATAAAAAATAACGTATTATATTATAATATATCTAGAAAAAACAATTAGAGGGGTCAAAGCCCCCCAAAGAACTAAAAAGCTCCCTCATTCACCTCTACTCAAAGCAACTTCTTACAACCCATCATTCTCTTCATGAACCCTATCATTTTAAGAATTTATATTATTTTTGAACTTAATAAACAATTCTGGAATTATTTTTTGGGAAGTTAAACATCTCGTGGTTTACCGAAAGCATATTAAAAAAAACTTGTTCAAAAATATATTTCATATTTTCTAGAAAGTTTGTTATGAAAAAATTATTCTAAAAAGTATTATACATACATATTCTGAAAATATTATTTCAGATTTTCTTTTCTGAAGATTTCTGGAACAAGTAATTTTTATAAGTCGCCTTTGAATAACGTAAAATGGTCATTTTCAAATCATGGTGTGCAGTTAGAAATTAGGAGGTGCAAGAAAACATCCTAACAAATGTCCATCCCTTCAAGTTGGGTTCCAAACAAGAGTGTTTCATCCTGCACCTCCAAGTGTTCATCCCGCACCTCCAAAGTTTTTTAAAATACCTACATTACCCATCATTAATACCCATAATTAAGAGGATTTAATATTTTAAAAGAAAAAATTAAAAGTTAAAGATTCTAGAAGAGATATTATTCCCACTTTCTCTCTCTCATCTCATTCTCAATCTTCAATTTCATTTCTCCAGTGCCACACAGGATCATACTATTATCACCTATAACCAAATAAAAAAAATAATATAAAAAATTTAAAATTTATATTATAAAATAAAAAACTAATACAATACATTACACAGTTATAAATTTATTAACAATATAATCAACTAAAAAAAGAACGCCAAATTAAACTTAAAACTATATAAAAATTTATTAAAATTTTTCATATACATTTTTTATCCAAAAAATTATAAAAATTAAATATTTAAAATTCATTTTTTATATTAACAAAAATTAATAATTATAGAAATGAAGTTAACTAGTTTTATAAAAAAATTTATACAACAAACCTAGTTAAATAATATTAATAAAATTACATGAAAAAATAATTATAAACTAATAAAATAATTCAAACAGTAATATAATTAAAGTTTTACATATAACATATATTAAACATTCGTCATGATATTTCACCATCGGATCTCTACATCTGATTTCTATAAATTCAGTTTTTTATATTCGATAGGCATTAAGGTTGTCTTTCTTCCAAATAATTTTTATTAATTTTAATAAATTTATTGAAATTATTTTATATTAATTAAAATTTATATAATTACATTATAAACTTAGTAAATAATTTTAAAAATAATTACAAATTAATAAAATAAATAAATAATAAATATTATTAAACTTTTATATAAATTAGTAAATAGTAGTCGGACTTCCACATCCGAGTAAGTTACAATCGGATATCCACATCCGATTATGTTACTTTCGGATATCCACATCCGATTATGTTGCTTTCGGATATCCACATCCGATTAGTACTTTCATTTTCAAGTTTTTTATTAAAAATTAGTTTTATTTATTTTAATACATTCATAAAATTATTTTATATTAATTAGAAATTATATAAACTCATAAAAAAAATATTAAACTAATATAAGAAGTATTAAAAAAATTAAAACTAATATAATAAGTATACAATGTTTGGAGGCATGAATAAAAGTCGGATATCTAAATCCGAAGCTTCCTAATCGGATGTCCACATCCGACACCCGTACATCGTCTCCAGTTCAATTTCAGTTTTTCCATGCAACCAGATTAACAAAAATAAAATACTCTCTGTATGCAATCAAATAAGTATATGCACACAAATTAAAATACAACACTAACCTCTCTTCAGCAGGAACGCAGAGAAAAATGAGCTAACACGCTGCAAGNAAAACAATGTAATTTGCATCAAAAGAAGTCTTTAAGGTACCTTTGTAACCACGAAGATTAGAGGAGATGACAGACCAGATAGGAGGAATCAGGAGGTAGGCAACGAATAGTGCTCCTGCAGTTCCAGCAATCACAGTAGGGTCTGAAGAGGATATGGTTTCAACGGTTGAAGAAGCTATTGGCTTGGCAACATCAATCACCTTGGTCGTTTGTTGTGCAGCATCTGCCACTGTCTGATATCAAAGAGACTATCCTGATCAGGTTTTGCCTTTTCAAATGTCAAACAAAACTGAATCTTTGAAAAGGAGATTCAATCAAAAGAGAACTTGTCCAATCAACTGCTAACGAAATAATAAAATCCATGCATAGAACCAGTTACAAAGTTATTGAATTCTTAACATGTTTTAATTTAAGGTGAACACACTTTCCTTTAGAATCAGAGTAGTTCCCAGAGATACCAAATTCCATTTAAAGAAGATCGTTTTTAACATGATATTCCATTGTGTGACTATGTCAACAAAAATTTATGATTTATCCACACATAGGGTGCAATTGGCACAAATGAAAGTAGGAAAAAGGACCTCAACCCCATGATTGGCTTCCAACCAGGGAATGGTTTTGCATCCCAAAAAATTATTTAGCACACAACGACAGTGCAACATGTTCATCCTACCAAATGACTATGCAGTTAAGGAAACAAACCTTAGCAGCAGTGATAACAGGTTGGGTATCAACACCAGAGCTTTGCAGTGCTTCTTGGGCTTTCTTGGAAGCTTCAGAAATGGCAGGGGAAGCAATTTTCAAGGCCTCTTCCCCAGCTTGCTGCACAATCGGCAACGCCGTTTCGATGCCAGGTTTCAAAGCGTTCCCAATTACCTCAGCAACACGCTGTGCCGTGTCCAGAACACTCGAACCCACTTCCTGAACCTGGTCAATCGTTTTCTCAACCTATAAATAAAAAAAATAAAGTTAGATTCTTTAAAAGATAAACAAAAGCTGCGAGGTATTCCAGATAATGGGTAGGCAAGGAAATCGAAAAAAATTACCTGGGTGAGAGACGAAACAATCTGATCCTTGGCGATGGAGACAGCGGCTTTGGCTTCGTTGGGAGGGGCGAAGAGAGCGAGGAGCGAAATGGTGGATGAGGTTGGCAGTGCTATGTGGTTGCGTCTGAGTTGAGGTTTGGTAAAAGTGGTGACAACTGGGTGTGAAGAAGGAGTTGGAAGAGAAGGTCTTGGAGTAGCTGAAGAAGCCATGGCAGAAATCTCCATTGGTGGTTGCTACTCTCTACACACTCACTCCCTTACTCAAAGATTCTTTGCCAGTGAGTTTAGAAAGTGATTGGTTGAAGGACGATAGATGAAAAAAGTTGGTTAGAGTGATGAGAGATGTGTGGCCAAAATCCATTGTGAAGCCATGACAGAGTTTAATTGTTCTTTATGTCCACCTATGCACCATCTATGTTTGAGGCTGCAAAACTATCACCACTCCACGTGGCATACCATGAACTTTCGTGGAGAACGATAATTCAAACAGTTTGGTAGACCCGATTTTAGTCCCATCTATCTCACTTCTTTACTTTACTTTCTTATTTGTCTTTCAAACACTCCAGTTTAATCATATCAAGTCCGAGGGGGTTGTTCAAAAATACTTTACACTATTTTCGCCACTCACGTGATTTGATTTACGTGTATTTTGTATGATTTCATGTTTGACTCATCATCGGTATTTGATAATTGATCAAATGCTGTTTTGCAAACATGCTTTTGTTGTGTTTTCACTGTGTATCGAAAAGTCATAATCCTATTACACAACGGAAACAATACCTCGTACAAACATCATAACTTTCTTGAAAAAGCTAAGAAAATGTAAGGGTGAAATTAGAAGAAAATGAAGGCGGGATGATAGTTTACTATGGTAAATATCAAAGACAGAAGGTAAACTTTTGTATCGACTACGAGAAATGTGTTTTGCCTTGTTGTACCCATATTATTACTAACTGCACCGAATATTAATGCAAATGACTAAAATATCTTCTGTTATTATCTCATGTTCATTATCATTGTTACCATCGTCAATGTCAACAATGTCTCACCTCTCAACAGTGACGTTTGTTCGGAATTTTTCTTTTTAAAATTTTAAAATTATAAAAAATAACGTATTATATTATAATATATCTAGAAAAAACAATTAGAGGGGTCAAAGCCCCCCAAAGAACTAAAAAGCTCCCTCATTCACCTCTACTCAAAGCAACTTCTTACAACCCATCATTCTCTTCATGAACCCTATCATTTTAAGAATTTATATTATTTTTGAACTTAATAAACAATTCTGGAATTATTTTTTGGGAAGTTAAACATCTCGTGGTTTACCGAAAGCATATTAAAAAAAACTTGTTCAAAAATATATTTCATATTTTCTA